CTACTTGACTTGGAACCTTCGATTTTTGGGTCTCATTTGAAAGACGTGTGATTACAACCTCAAAGGTAAGGAGCTTGGCAAAGGAAAAGAGGAGTCACCAGTGTTTACGTTTTAAGGAGGGACCTATATCCGAAAAGTCTTTGTGCGAAATTTTCAAAACGTTGACACTTTTTTCCTGACCACTTGCTCTTAATTTTTAGGTATTAAAAACAATATCTTTATTTGCTTATTTTTACACAGGAGCACGTGCAAAAACAGTGTGAAATGCTAAAAATAGATAATTTTCAGACATTATTTTTCTACTCAAAATCCGCGCTAAAAAGAACCAAAAATGTCGAATCACATTGGAAATCAACAGGTATTTATTCTATATGACTTTTGTTTTTAAAATGAATTCAAATTCATTGTTATTCATCTGGCATGAAAAATTATAAAGAGGCACAATGTAAGTATCACCCCGTTTTTCTTGTCGTATTTTTTATAATTCCGACATGCATAACAGGTAATATCTTAAAAAGTCTTTGTGTGAAAATGATATAATTAATATTTTTTGAAAGAAATGATTCATCTCCTTATTTTAACAAAGAAAAAAGTATACCTTTATGATCAAATAAACGAGAAATATGACTTGTTCTTTTATTTTCGTACTCTTGTGTCTTAAATATTGACCTTTCTTCATTAAAAAAGGTAAGTATGCGCTGACAAACATCTGAATATAAACTATTTTGCGAAAAATGAGTATTTTGTTTTCATTAGAAACAATTTAAACAGATCAATTCTTTTCTTCTTCATTCCAATCACTGTATCTCCCCATTTCCCATTTCCCCGTCAACAACCAACACCTATTAGAACCTAGGAATGACTTTATACAATAAAATCTACATGCACTACAAATCGATAAGCAAATATAGGTACAAGTACATTTCTTAATTTTTTTCTTAGTTTAATCCAGAAAAATTCAATTAATAGAAACCATAAAATTAAACATATTTCCCTGATTTAAGCCGCTTTCTTCGCTGAATTTTATCTTAAATCTTTTTGCAAATCAGCATATCGTCGTACTATTTATTCACAACTGAAATTGTTATGAATTATCAACCAAATAAAGAGGATTTTACTAATTACAAACTCAATAAATCAAATAAAACTGTTATTAATGATGAAGAAATTTTCTTTTTGTACATCGTGTACCTTATTAAATAATAACAATGTTACATGTTTGCCTATATCACAGTTGCAAAAGTCAACAGGTAAAAAACAAACGTCGCTATTGTGACGTCACATAACGCTGCTTTGACGTAGAACGACTTAGGTCCCCCCTAAAGTTTGACAAAGTGATCGCATTACCATAAGGCTACCTTCACCAGTTTTAATCTCGTTTGAAGATAACATTTTGAAAATTTTGTGTTCAGTACATTGGCTTTGTTTAGAAAAGGAACTTCCTTGTTATTTTTATTTTTATCGACGCCTCAGATACAAATAGTAAGGACAATTTTCTTTCACTATGATTATTCTACAGATATATTTCCTTTTACCTGATCATTAGAAGGGGCACACAGGGTGTGTGAGTTCTTGACAGGTGACAACATCCATTACTCCTGATACCTTTTTATTTTTACCTTTGATTCAGATTTGCTAATTCAAGGTAAGTGCAAAACATACCATCCACAGACAATCTTTCCCTGAAGTTTGAGTAAGATTAAGCCAAGGGGGAAAATATGCCTCACACAAAAAGTGGGTTGACAGACAGACAGACTGTTCACTAAAAGAGTCCACATTAATAATGAACACATTTTTCCTCAGTTTCTCGTACGTCAACATCAATGAGTCTCTAGAGTGGCGCAGTTGTTTGAGCGTTTCCTCTAGAGTCGCAGAATAAGGAGTTAATCCTTTCATCGTGGATTAAAATTCCATTGTTGGACCTGTCATTCGGATGAGACTATTGAACCAAAGCCTGGTGTCGCAGCAGGATCCGGCATGAAAAAGATTTCTCACTGCTCAATGGCCTTAAGTGCCGATTATCGGTATAAATATGCAGACTTCCACCAACTATTGGTGACTTTGAGTATGAGTAAAAAATTTCAAAATAGGATATTGGACAACACAACAAACAGACAAAAAAGAATCAATATGAATCGCTCATAGAACAATTGCAACAAGATTCTTTTTTGCTTAGGCTGCTTGTAAGGTCTTTCACAAGCAGTTTAAACTTTTTTTTCATTTTTGATTTTAAAGCAATATGAGCTACATTTTTTAGAATTTTATTTTTCTAGTAAAATGTGTTATTATGATTAATTTGTATGTAATCTAAACCCTTATAATCAATAAAACCAAAATAAAGTTTAAAAATGTGTCAGAAGAAATATTTCTGTACATCCGAATATACAATATTATATAAGAAATCATTATTGTACAGGACGACAATAATTCAAGTTTGCTTTAATCAAAGCTTATAAAAAATTCTTCCATAACAATATGAACAACAGAAGTTTATAAAGTTCTATTTTCCTGTCATTGAAATAGTTAATTACAAATTTGAAATATTTTTTCCCATGTCAAACATGCAGCTAATATTGCTTTTTGATTTAGTACAAAAGCAATTACAGTAAGAGAATACTAACGTAATTTCTTTCCAAAGTATTAGTTTACGTGGAAATTACCCTATACTTCACCTTATAATACTCCTATGTTTAATTTTAATTCTACTTTAAAAGTCTTGATTGGTTGATAATAGTTCCTAGGTATATGAATTGTAAAGATTAGCTGTAATATTAATTTAATTTCGAATTGCTATCTAATATAATGCTCCATGCATTTATATAAAGAAAAGAAAGCTCTGTGCTGGAAGTTAAAAATCCATTGATGAAATAATAAAAGTTAAGAACACTAATGGAGACATAAAATAACCGATTCCGTGAAGACCATAGCATATACTTACTATACAGAGTCAACAAAGATAAAATACTCCATTTGCAATTTATGTAATTCATCATTTGGTTTCGCACTTTTTAAAACTTAATTTCTTTTTAATATGTCGGAGATATCTACGCTTAACTTCTCGTGTCTCTGTCAAAATTATAGACACTTTTTAAATATTTTCCTCATAACACGTCAGTTAAGATCATATTTTTTAAATAGTTATGTGTGTTTAAAAGAAATCAAATTTAAGAATACTGGGGGTTTTATTTTTAGTCTGAAGACGTGAATCAATAAAATGGTTTCTTTTATTATGTAAAATTAAGTTATTTTACGCAGTTTACTCAATAAAGAGAAGAAAAATAGTTTTGCAACAAAAATGTTCGCGGAAGATTTTAACATACTGGATAATAAGTCATTGAACAAGGAAAAATCTAAATTGTATAACATATTATTCTTTTATGCTGTCATTTAAACACTTACATGCACTTTTTTTCAATTTATATCAAATATATTTCAAAACGCCTACATTGTTTCATCCCAATGAAAACGTTTCAAGTTAAGATAAAAGTGATTGATTTTACTCAGATCGTTTTCTTTCCTTACTTTCTTAAGTGAAGGATTTTTCGCCTTCATATACACGTCTGTAGATTAAAGAAAGAGTAGAACCATTATTATGAATGCTGAAAATTCATTTCCTGTGGAAAAGCAACGCCATCCATTGTTCATCTTATACCTTATAAAAATGTAATGCAGACTTTCATTTTCTTTTTACTTTTTTGGAAAAAAAATAATCTAAGGAAGAAACTTTTTAATTAAATGAACAAATAACAAGAAGAAATATGGAATATGGTATAAAGGTACAGTTAACAAATATAAGGAAATAATACTATCTATTATCCTTATCATTTCCTTATCATTTAAATAATCATCCAATCCAGTAACATTTGTGTCTATACCCTGGACAGTTACATCTCGTGACACCTCTTAAGAATCTCTTTTTTTTAAATTGTTTTTCTCTGATAAGAATATAAATTAACCTCATTTCAAAACTTAGTTCTAATCCATCCAAGAATCAAATGCTCTTTACTTACTGGAATATAAAAGGTGAGGAAAACGAGCAGTGGTCAAACTAAAAAAATCCATAAAATCTGTGAAGAGAACATAAAACAAGGACCTCTCGAAAATTCCAGAGGTGGGATCAGGTGCCTGGGAGGAGTAAGCCTCCCCTGTTGTCCGATCTCACCTGCCGGGAGCCCTATGTGGTCGCCCTATATTTGGTATGCTTACTCCACTAATCAGGTTCCTTCAAATGACACCAAGGTCAATGACCTAGTGACCCTAACTGTGATCTGTATGCTAAAAATAGCTTTTTTGAACCCTCACTATAACTTTTGAACCATGAGAGATTGAGATTTTATATTTGGTAAGCATACTCCACTAATCAAGCTCTTTCAAATGACACAAAGGTCAATGACCTTATGACCTTGACTGTGACCTTAATGCTAAAAAAAACTTTTTCCGAACTTTGTTGCCGCCGGGTGCATAGTGTTTCACAAACACATCTTGTTAACAATTTTTTCGAGAAAGGTTTAAGCTCAAGAGAGGTTAAGCTAAGGATGTTCCATATTTTCTCGTTTAAACCAAATTATCACCATTGTAGTAATATCTCCACCGTTACTCAATATGTTATTAAATTTTAAATCTTGAAAAAAATGACAATGAAAATTTTAGTCAAAAGCAAAATGAGTTTTGGGAAGCCGAATTTGAAATATAAAAATGGAAAATATACGCACAAAAACAAGTCCGGGGGTAAGACTTTTGTACGGTAAACGTTATATTATGTTATGAATTATGTTACTCACGCTATATTTCTGGAAACCTCATTGATATACTACAGTTTTATAAAGAAACATTTTGTTTAAACCAATAGTGAGTATTTCATAGACTGAAGGTCTGTCTATATACTATAAATGAAATTTTTTGATGAATGCCTATGATAACAACCAACCATTAATTGTGCTTATGAAATTAATGACATAGTACACAAAAACATGACGTTATTTTTCTTTCGCATCAGAAACCTCCTTGACAATACGCTTTGTAAAATGGGAAAATATATAATTGATCTAAAAGAATGAATTTTCGCGACGGAGCAAATATTCTTCATAAATTCATAACATAATTTAGGGTTCGCTGCGAATAATATTTATTAGTAAAAGAAAGTCGTAAAACGTGAATATTTGTCGCACGCGAAGAAAAGTTGTTTTACAGTATTTCAATATTTTCAATGCATTAATGGAAGTGTATTCTTAATTGTTTTCTTGCTGAACAGTTCCTGTTGGATTTGCACCAGCATTCAAAGTTGCTATTTGGAAATTCACAGGTGTTGCGTCTTGCCCTTGTATACGTCCATAATTGGTCGGTGTCATCATGATGTTGGGATTTTGAGTAATTCCTGTACCAGTCAATGTAGAATGCTGAACCTGCTGGTGTCCAGAAAGATAAGCATTGGGGTTATCTGTTATAAAATAAAAGAATAAAACTTGAAAAAAAAAATCCAAATTAAAAAAAAATAATGATACGGCTAAAATGCTCGTTGTTTCGTTCTTTGCAAACACCATCAAGAATACTGTAAGTCGTTTTAATTCCACGGTGTTAGAATTTCACGATATCTCAAAAAGTACCAATTGCGATGTTTTAATTTCACGCTGCAAGAAATTAATTCAAAATTTCGCATAAGCATTTAAACGCTTTAAAACCAAAAAATAAAATTTACGATGGGTTTAATTTCGCTGAAAATTAATAAATCGCGAACATGAGAAATTAAAACCATCGTGAATATAACTGCATTAACAGTAACAATTGCATACTTGATCTTATACATCTGTGAGGTACTTATTCTTAAAGTAGGGTCAGCATTGATGTAATCAATGTCGTTTACAAGACCCCATTTCTTTCATTTTTATTTCATTTGTTTAAATTAATTTTCTTTCTAAATACAGGTATTAGAATATAATCCGTATTAGAGTATAATTTCAGTATCTTTGACTTTCATCTTTCCTGGCTGGAGGTGGCTTTTTCATACAAAAACAATCAAACTTATTTTTCTTTCAAGAATATCATAGAATAAACGTTTACCAACTCCTGGGAGTGTTTGAATGATGACTGCTCCGTGACTCCATTCCCTGTTTTTCCTCTGCATGCAACATATGCAGACGATAAGACTAACAAAGATGCCGAGCCCGAGCAAACCCCCATAGGAACCACCTAGTATAGCTAGGGCTATACTAAATACAATGGAAAACATTGTTTTATCATATAGAATCATATCATATCTGTTAGTTTTTTAATTAACAAAAACACGATAGCGTAGTAATGAGAACTACATCCTCTCTTTCATCATATAGAATCATATCATATCTATTAGTTTTTTAATTAACAAAAAAACGAAAGAGTAGCAATGAGAACTACATCCTCTCTTTCATTTCCAGTTTCCGCTGAAATTAAACGTGATTTATGTTCCTTAGTTCTCCTGACATACGACTGAGCTAATTTGTTTTTATTTTATTTTTTTTTGTTGTTGTTGTTTAAAGCAGGCAAAAACAAAAAAATAGCATGTAAAAGTAAAATATGTCATTTATTAAAGTAAATGTCGAAAATATACCTTAATGACATTGTAACATGATTTACATAGGGAAAAGGGGGTCAACCAGACAGAATAAGATTTCAAACCATATAATCTTTCACAAGGTACAATATGCATACAAAAAAACTACATACAAATGTATTTCATTAAAAAGTTATTAATTTTTGTAATTTCTAACTTTTTGCCATTTGTGCTTTAGATTTTGCTTTTTCTGACTTTTTTTAAAGGCAATCATTCATTTGTAAAATTGAGAATCTCTTACGTGTTATCGGAGCAATCTTGGATCTCGTTAGGACCGTCGTAATAAATATAACAGGAACCTTCAGTCGTTTCTGGAAAGCAAAATACACCTGTTATTTTTATTTACCCCATGTTTACCCCTTTATCCCATGGATATGACTCATTGGATATTTTTCTATCTCACACTTACATGTATCTGCAGTTATGACGTCACAATGTTTTATGCGTAAGCTTAATGAAGTAAAATTAAGTGAAGTCCTACAAAACAGTGTAAAAGTTGTCTTTGTTGTTACATGTATTATCAAACATGGGATGAAAAAAAATCTCAAATGATTTGTAGCCTAGTAAGATATGATTTTTTCGCAAAGGCTCGGGGATATAAAACACACAACTCGCGATCGTTGGATAATAATCTAATCAAGGGAGATCCTATATTTATCTCATACGTGTTGGATACTGTTACTGAGATAAACATATTCTTTAAGTGCTTCATCATTAACACTTCCGGTTTTGATACACACCTTTACTTCTAGATTTAAACTTATCAAATTTTTTATTTGTTCCTTGTAAACGGTACAAAGATAGAGAGAGTAGATTTCACAATTTCTCTGTCCTTATCCTAACAACTTTCAGTCAAAAGTGCGTTTGAAATAAAACTCCACAGAGTTTCTGCAGAATGTAGATAGCAACTTTAACGATGACCCCTTAAGATAAAGCTGATCGATTTCCTTATGTGTGATTTATAAGTATCAGTGATATTGTAAATCTTAAAAACAAAAATAGATTTATACATAATATTACATACCCTAAATAAGTTTTAATTGCTTTGAGGCTCTCCAGTACCATTTGACAATGTATGGAATTTTTTTTTAACAAAAATATGTTTAGATTGGAGCTTGCCTAATTTTCTACAGATTTAATGGTTTGAGAGTAGCATTCACGTATTTTTTAAACTACTTCAATATTTACGTTTCCTTTTCCAAAAAATATTGTGTGTAAGGCTTTTTTTAATATGCTTTAAACTCCAAATGTGAAATTAAACCATTTATTCTCAAAGATAAAAATATAAATGAAAAGTCTAAGGGGCTATTGGTTATTATGATAATAAAACACTTTTAATAACAAATTGATTTTCTGACAAAATGTACTCACTATAAGTTGTAATCAGGAACAAAATACTTAGTTTCAAATTATTGTATTCCGCCATATTTGTTTTGTACGTTATGACACTACATCAAGTGTTGCTTAAATTCTGCTAAATCCATTATCATATATTTATACAGCATATAGTTATCATCATTTATTTAGTTATAAAGAAAATGTCTGAGGTGTTGTTATCTACCTTTTCCTGATAAAATCTATGCAGTACTGAAGTTATGATAATCTTGTCAGGAAAGAAAATACGTAAATGATTTGTGTTTAAAAATATTTTATTTGACCACATTATATGTTCATAATGTTTTATTCTGAATAGTTTTAGCAATGCTGTTTTACTTTAAGATATTTATGAGCTCTTATGAACTCTTGTCTTTTATAGTTTTAAATTATGTTATAATGTAAATATAAACATTAATTTTTTTTTAACTTGAATGGAAGGAAGAATGAGAAAAATAAAATTACACATGTACTTTTATTGTTTCTTACTGAATCAATATGTAAATGTTTCGTCGTTCTGATATCAAACATTTCCATTTTCGCGTTTCTTTCTCTGAACAAGTGGGCTGATAAATGATTTAAACCCCATGCATTGTAGTTCGAACAGATAAATGAAAAGGGTCAACATGAACATTACGTCTCTTAGTTAGCGAGAATACAGTAGAATCAAGGTCTTAATTTCACCATGAATTCAAATTCAAACCAGACCAAGTCTAATACCCAAGTAGTCCAGGGACTGATTTTCACAATTTTGTAACTGCTCTGGAAATTTTCGTAGAAAGCAAACCTATAAGTTCCTGGGACAGCTTTGGATATATTGTTTTGTTCACACAAGTGTCAACCAAGCCCCGGCCCGTCACCTGTATTTCGAATTCGTAGATTTAATTTCTTTTCTGTTTCGATGAAAAGTCGTTAGAGTAAAAGAACAAAGATTAATGAAATAATTTATTAAGCAAGGATATTTACTGATAAAAAAAATAGGACTTTGATAATTAAGTGTAATCCACCATGTGTCGCAGTGGTAAAAGCGTCTGCTCTAGAGTCGAGGAGTAAGCAGTTGATCGACATGTCGCTGATTCGAATCCAGCATGGCGATGTGAAGATTCCTTCGAATGAAGCTATAATTAAATTGACCCCGTGTCACAGTAGGTGTTGTCATGAAAAATATTCCTTATTGTTCGTAGGCACTAAGTGCCGAGTATTTGTCTAAATTTTCAGCACTCAAACGGCAAAATTAAGGTGGGTCTCAAAAAATAGAAACTTTCGAAATGACGTAAACCGACTACCAAATTAACCTTATTAACAAACAACAAAGAATAATAAAATGTCTTCAGTTGTCGTTCAGCACCATTGCAGTATAGAAATAATGAATCAATAAAATTATATTAATGTTGATTATAATTTTAGAAACACTAGGAAATCGAGAAAAATACATGTTTTGATATCTTAGCTTTAATATGTAAATTACACTTGACAACGGGATCTGACAAAATAATTAATTCAATTAATGAATTCTAATTAATTGTGTTCTTAAATTGAAAGTTTTAATTATCCTGTGTCCTAACGAAGAAAACGATTGTGATATAACAATAATATATTCAAACAGACATGCTCTACTGGAAAGTGATTACTGTAAATCACTTTTTATTCGCCATAACTTTATTTTCGAATAATTACGCGAGACAATGAGCTCGCGAAAATTTCATTCTCACGTTTAAAAATTTTCCTTCGGATTTTATAGAGGAAAAACAACAAGTCATGAAAATTATGTCTCTCTAATCAAGAGTTATTTAGTATCTCGCGAAAATAAGGTGTCGCGATAATTTAGTGATCTACAGCATTTTAATGCTGTGATTAAAAGTTGTGTAAATGAAAGATAAAGAGTATTATCGATATTAATCGCTAACAAATATACAATGTTAAGAGGGAAAAAAGGAAAATATAAACTTATTAAGCTTGATGTTTTCAATTTCATAAAATATACACGCCTTAGATAAGCAATTAGATCATTCTGGGCAAAAGGATCCTTTTAACATATGTACATGCAATATGTTTTGTCTATTATAAAAATGTACAGTAAAGATATAGTGTGACAGTGTTGAATGTTGAAGGCATAAGGGCTATAACTAATTATTATGACTCTAGCGGCAATAACAAATTTAAAGAATAAAATCTAAACTTTGAAATTAAAGTCAATTAAAAACTCAGTTTTCATATTATCTTTATTTGCTAATGTCTAATTTAAACAATTTTTAAGATTCAAGTTTCTGGCTGGACAGTTCCCGGTAAATTCTCCCCTGTACCTGCACTTGTGGACGGAATACCCACGTGAGGTGAATTTGGTCCCTGTGAATTTCCACCGTGTGTCGGTGTCAACATGTAAGAGTTCTGAGTACCAGGTACGCCTGCCATAACAGGTTGCTGGTTCTGTGGGATTCCATATTGATGACTGAGATGGATATTATCTGTTTAAAGAAAACAATATATATGTAAGCAAAAATATAATGTACGAGGGTCATTCAAAAAATACGTAGACAATGCTTCTCATCGTCATATAAGTATTACAAGATTATAAATCAAAACATTTTCGTAAACATAAACATTTATTTTGTCGAAGTGTGAAGTTTCATTTCATTTGATTAAATAGAACTCATGTTAGCCAAAATTTAAACCAACATGTTTTGTTTCCACGGAGCATGGTTAACCAACATTGTAACGTCAAAGACAACGTTGAGAAAGTTTGTCAAAATTATACTTATTTTCTTAATTTCAAACACTGTTTGTAGCGTTTTCTCCTTTCAAAAAACATATCCATAACATTTAACACCTAGTTTGCGAACAATTGTACAAATATAGCTTGAATAAGAATGTCATTGTTTTCAAATTCTTTCATTTACCATGTAACTCTATTAATTCTGCAACAGTGAAGCACACATCACGTTCAATGACGTTCCTACATCTTTCGAGTCCATATGTATTTTTAAACTTAAACTGCTTCTTTGCCGACAATCCATAGTCCAATTCAAACTTGCTACCACTTAAAAATTGTGTTTTCCATTTAAAACAAATACACAGATTATTTTTCATACAGATCCTGGTTTATACGGATTTTTTAAGCTTGTAGAATAAGTTTCCCGAATGTAAAGTACAATTGTATTGCGAATTGCTGCTCCGTGGCGTCCTCCAACATCATGGTTTTTTGCTTTTTTAATCAAGTCCATATGTATTTAGAAACTGATATCTTTTAAATGGAGCGACATATTACATAACCTGATTTCATTTTTATTAATACAGCAATACTTTATTTATACATGTAAATTTTATTTCGTTTCAGCTCCATTTATTAGAGATATGGCTGTAAATACTTTAAAGTGAAAGAAAGTAAATTACTCAATTTTGACGGTGCTCCGTGACCCCATTTTTGCTGTTCTAAATCCTTGGTAATTTTAATAAATATGAAGATAAATTCTAATTTTTTTACTCAAATTATTTGAATCTGTTGTTAAAATATTTGTACCAAATTTGGATATAATATGACGTTAAATAAAAAAGTTAGGACAAAAGTCTACGAACTTTTTGAATGACCCTCGTATAAGACATATCATGGGTAAAACATTATTTATCTTATTCACAAAATGAATTTGATATTTTTTTTTAAAATACATCCCCACTTTTCTCAAGCCTATGGTAACATTACATGCTACATTACAGTTTTCACCATTGACTAGGATGAGTTTTAACTTAAATCGTATTCATTTCACACTTTCTAGACCTTCATACTAATAAATGATAGACATGTACACAACTTTCTTTGCTACAGACAAGTTATCTATATGCCACTGTGGGGAAGGAAATGTACTTCAGAAGTTTTATATTGGTAGCAAAATGTGAAATCGTGGTTGCCTCTTAAACGTCATAGATAACGCTGAGCATGTTAAGATAGGGATATAGTTGCGTTAGAAAATACTTAAGAGGTACAGTGTTTGCTTAAAAAAATTACCTGTTCTTTGGGGAGTTGGAACAATAACCGCGCCATGATACCCATGTTGATTTTTCCTTTGGTTACAGCACCAGCAGACGATAAAGCTTACTAGAATCCCGATCCCGATCACTGATCCGTAGGAGGCTCCCAGAACGAGTAAATATGGACTAAATATGAAAACAATCAAACCCGTTATTCCATATGATAGTGGCTTGTTATTTTCTTATATTTACATTTCCATTTTTGCCTTTAACATTCTTTTCAAATTAGAGTTTTGTTCATTTTATCATGAACTACCATGGATGAGCATGAATATCTCCATTAAAACGTCATAATAACGTGCTTGACGTCAAAACTATAGTGCAAACTGTTAAAAATGCTTTTAAAATGACTGGCTTAAAGTTGAGGCAATTTATCAGAAAAACAATGTAAATATAACAAATGAATTTAATTTTCGAAGATACATGAGGTACATGAACTACAACGCCGGCATATTTATCATAATTTACGCCAGCGTGAAGCGTCATAGTGCATGTCCTCATGAATCTACTAAAATGAAATTCATTTCTTAAGTAAATTGTTTTTCATTAATGTGTGTTTTTTTTCTCTTTTTTTCTTTATCTTTCACTCCTTCCCATAATATAAAGAATACAGGAAACCAATATAATTATTTATATTTTTAAAAAAAAAAACAATAATTTCAATAAAAAATAAAATGCTTCCTGTTTCTTAGTACGGGGATGAATATTACAGCTGTTTGGGAAAGAAATACATGACCCGTTTACAAAGTTCAGGGTACATTTAGTGAGCATTATTTAAAGAAATTAAGTCACAATGCATAAGCGTCATTACATTTTCTTATATAAATAAGTTGATGTTGTATCTGAAATGACTGATATCGTAAAAATGTATAATATTAGTACCTATCCTTCTGTATGTTTTTAATTGATCTTAATATTGAATGAATTTAAGTTGTAAGTATTTATCACTGTAGTTGTTCTGTAAAATGCAATAAAATTTTTATGATTAACATAAAAAGTAAATTTACAAAATCGTCAAATGACACAACTGCATACATAAATTAAAGTCACACTTTGGAAGCTACAGAGTGTAAACATAAACTAGAGGTACTGTCAGCAATAGACTCACTAAATGATACCACCCGCCTCCCATATGTTTTTAAATGGCAGTGTCCATGTTTTGCTATGGGAAACCCAAAATATATGTCGGATCAAAAAGTAAAATAGGAGGTGCACAATGGCAATATGTAATAAATATTCTGTGAAAGATTCATCAAATTTCATTCAGTGGTATAAGAGGAGTTGCGGATAAGAGATGGGTACCCCAAAGCGTAACAGACGGACGGACGGACAGACGGACGGAATTAACGATTACTATATACCCTCCCGCTTTTCAAGCGGGGGGTATAACAAAATGTGAATATATAGTGTTTCTACTACGTTTTGGACGACATACTGACACTCTTTCTATATTTGCAATGCAGTCATGGTCGTTGTGAATGTATTACTTATGAAAATATTAATTTATTGGATATTAGAATTTGTAATTATATGTTTACGTTATCTCTTACTTGTAGTAGGTACAATAGTAGACGTAGGTATAGCCATTATAGACGCTGGAACAGCCACCTTCAACGTTCTCTGAAAAAAAAACATACAATACAATACATTGATCTAGTTTCATATTTATGTAATACTGCAGAAATAGATGCATTACAATTGGCTGTGTATTCAGTAAATTGGAATAAACGTTGGAATTCTTCAAACGACGTCACTGTTTTCGGATTTTGTAAGCACTGTATGACGCTGAAGAATTAAATATGACTCGCTTGTATGTTCAAGACGTCCGTGGATATTATACTAAAAACTGATGTTTTCAATCTGCACTTACGTTTGCTTTCAGAAAGTAAATGAAAAAAATCATGGAGCAAATACGAGGGTTGTTCGAAAAGTTCGTTGACAACTGTCATATCTTCTTTTTTATATGACGTCATATGTTATCCAAATTTGGTAGAAATATTTTAACAATAAATTCAAATGATTTGTATTAATTTTTTTCAAAACATTACAATTTATTCAAAACTTATCCAGATTTAAAAAATGCAAAAATCGGATCGCGGAGCACGTCAAAATTTAGTAAGTTACAGACAATGCTCTAAATAATGTCTGTATTCATATTCTCTGTAAAATGGAGGGAAAACGAAAAACAACCTAGAAATTCAAATCAAGAATTATTATATCGATTCGTGTACCAAATTTTGGTTTCGTATTCTGATTTGTTGAAAAGAAATCAAATTGTGAAGATAGGTAGTCCTTATTGAAAACGACAAAAACGATTACGTTTCATGACGTCACGGAGCAGCAGATTAAGTTTCAGTTTTGTGTTTTACTCAGGAAAAATCCTAAATAAACTCTAAAAGTGTTGGATGTGAAAAAAAGTCACAAACAAGTTATGCAGGTATGTACAAATAGTACAAGCAGTATTTGAGTGACAGAGACTCTTTATCGGATGAGGATGATCTGTGAAGAAACGGTTTAACTATAAAAATCTTCACAAAACTTTAAAAAGTTGGAACGTCAAGGAAAGACATAGGCGCTTCAGAGTTGCTTATCATGTGAACGCAGGAATAATTTATAAAACGAATTAAAACCTTAACAAAGGATATAATACAACGAGAGCATTTCTTAAAAAAATGTCAAGTATTGGAAAAGGGATTTAATGAACGGGTACTGTATTATACTGAGTGAAATGTTTAGCCTAAGGGATATTATTTTGTAGAATTTCTCGACGCTATGTTTTGACGTTACATTGCCGTTAAGTGTGCTCCGCGGGTACAAAACATCTTGATTTTAAAATGAAGTAAATTGATTTCTGTTAAATCGAATGAAATGAAACGTCACATATCAACAAAACAAAACAGCTTACATATCGTAACGTGTTTATTTTAAATTTCTAGTGGGTAATATTAAGATCATTAACATCGTCTACGAACTTTTCGAACAACCCTCGTATAATAAAGTTTAATGATTTATATTCCTAAATAATGCGATAGTTTGTTATCTATTCCCAGAGATTTTTAAATATAAATATAAAGGAGAATAATTTTTTTAATTGAAAAATATTTGATGAAATAAACAATGCTAGAAAAAAAAAATGCTATCGCATCATATACTTACCATACACTATGAATAAAAGTAAAATATTTAGTTTCATTATACTATTTTCCACCTTGTTCTTTTTCTTGTGTGACTTTACCCCAAATTGTATTTTAACATTGGGGTTTTAAATTCATGTACTGCGATTCCGAATCCTAACAGATATTACATTGTAACCACTAAATTAATCTCACTGACCACAAAAGCTTGTCCTTGAAACGTCAGTCAGTAAGATAATTTTAAACTAATTGTTTCTCTGATAGAAATCATTTAAACAACAATGGATCCTATTTTCTATTGATCGAAATTAAATTCAAAAGGGTGGTTTGGTATTTTAACATACGAAAATTCATTAAAACGTATTATTCAATATAGAAATCAGCTGCAGAAGAAAAATGAATACAAGAAAGTTCGCAGAAAACGGTAAATTAACAATACGTTAAGTTACAGAATGCTGTTGCTGTCAAGATTTTATTCAACACTTCACAATGCATTTTTATTAGGATTTTTTCAAGGTCTTTGTGTATAACCTGATTTTCCCTGATAATACTCCTTCCTTTCAAAATCTATTCTATAAAAAAAGTCTGACATTATATATTTTCATGGCAACTAAAATTGATAAAAAAAAACATTTCAAGTTCGATTTTTCTCTTGTATTTGGCGAAGACTTAATTAAATGCAAACAAGTAATGAGCTACATATAATTTTATCAGTAAATCATATAATAAAACAATTTTGCTGGTTTTTTTGGTCAATACAATGTGGACTAATCAGATGGCTATATCATTGAATTGACCTCAATAAACAGCAATAATTGTATAATATTACATGTATGTTGAAAGATAACGTTCAAAAAAGGTCTTCTTTCTCATGAAATATAAAAAGGTTAATAAAACTAATTTGGAATAAATCTCGTAAATCTTGATCTCTAATGTACTGCATATACATGTACTTTTACAACTTTTGTATTATGGACTTTTAATTTACAAAATCTGATTTCAGATCATTAAAGAAAACATTACGCTAGCTAGAAAAAATTGATTACGGACCTACAATAAAAGAAATAGTTGAAATTTATAATACCCCAAACTGATTTGTCAGTAGCTTGCAATTGTCTGTTTTCAAAATAAAATTTTAGAACTAGTCACACTTTTTTAGTAAATGTAATAAAAAGTCTCTCATTATAAGATCTGTATGATGCCCCAGAATAGTGGTTTTTATATACTTCCATTTCTAACTTTTTTCTCTGTGATAACTGTTTGAAAGTTGGGGGAGTTTAATTCTTGATAATTCTGCCGGAATGTAAATTAGGCAGGTCGATAGGTCAGCAGCTAAGGAGACCTAATACGCATGCAGATCTCGTGCGCATCTGTCTCTGTGTCTGACGCTGAGGAGGCCAAAAATGCATGTAAATCTCGTGCAGCTGCCTTTATGTTTGACGTCAGTGTGCGAGGACTATTGAAATTGGCATGGAAGTCTTCGTGTAATTTAAATTTATTAGTCTACATTTTTAATGTCTAAGTCTACAATTTTATTTCACAATGAAATGGAAATATAAGTAATCACTGTCTAGTTAGGAGAGTATTCCAGGGACATCAACAATAGTAGGAAACATGGGATAATTTTAAAAATGCATGTAAATCTCGTGCGGCTGCCTTTATGTTTGACGTCAGTGCGCGAGGACTATTGAACGTTCTATTTCCACTATTGAAGAGTTATAGTTCTTAGTGCGCTCTTTTGTGAAAAAGTCGGAGAATGTACAAATCTCGCAGGATTTCTGGGACAAACGTAATATAAACATGTAAACAAAATGTTGAATGTCGATGAACAAATCTTAACAAAATGCATATGAAATATTTTATAGCTGTGGACTTTCTTTAAATCAAGAGTAGAGATGACAGGGATATTAATTTACATCTACTGGTGATCGTATGTATCTATTTATCGTAATGGTACATTTAAAGACAAAACACATACCTCAGAAATGTCGTATTTTTTTTATTAATGGACGATAAAGTTAGGGTTTTCGCTCTTTTACACACGTCTTTTAGTTCTTCTATTTATTAGTTAGAATGACAAATGTACTTAACATTTAAAATTGGATTGAGACTAGCATTTTTTGTGTTATCTGCAATGTCATGCTGTCCCAGTCAAACGACCGACGCGCCTCTAATTCTGAAGAGTTCACTAATGGAAATGCAACGTATTGGCATGCAAGTCGTCGTGTAATTTAAATTTATTAGTCTACATTTTTAATGTCTAAGTCTACAATTTTATTTCACAATGAAATGGAAATATAAGGAATCACTGTCTAGTTAGGAGAGTATGCCAGGGACATCAACAATAGTGGGAAACATGGGATAATTTTAAAATTATCCCATGTTTCCCACTATTGTTGATGCCCCTGGCATACTCTCCAAACTAGACAGTGATTCCTTAATGAAGTCCATTTATGATTGTGATCCATAAAATGTATTGATTAGTTTTTTCTCTGTACATGTTTAATTACGCTATAATATGCAAATTGAACAGCTGTTGTAGTTGATATCACCAGCTCAATACTCAAGAACATGTTATAAATAAGATCATTTTTATATAGAGTTTGTCATTCACATTTTATAATGATATTTAAGGAATTTAAACCTCAATATTTCCTTTTATAAATTTTTTCTCTATAATAACCCTTTGGAAGTAAGCTGAGTTGATTTCCTGATAATTCTGCCGGAATGTAAATTAGGCAGGTCAATAGGTCAGCAGCTAAGGAGGCCTAATACGCAAGCAAATCTAGTGCGCATTTGTCTCTGTGTCTGACGCTAAGGAGGCCAAATATGCATGTAAATTTCGTGCAGCTGCCTTTGTGTTTGACGTCAGTGTGCGAGGACTACGCAGCACAGTTAAGGTGCGCAATGGAAATATCAACTAAATTTTGTATTTAAAAATGTATTCGTAATCGGGATGGAGATTATTTTTAGTACATTATTTATATCAGATAATTGTAATTATGATTAATAACAACATATCGATGACGATTATATTTTATATTTAGACTAGTCACGTGATGCGGCAGTCACGCGATTTTAGCACATTGACTTGAAGTATTGATGTTACATATAAATGTCACTAGTGCAAGGGCATAACCAAGATAAATTTCCAAGTTTAGTATATAAATATTTTCAACATGCATTATAGTTTCTAAAAAGTGCTGCGATCCTGTCTAAATTCTGCAATTTCATTGTTAAAATTAACTTGAATGACCGAATGCTATATTTTTCGCTGGTCAGCAGCATGAAATATTGATACAATTAAATTGTTTTTTTAAGATTTCATCAGGATCGCAGCACTTTCCAGATACCTTATTAGTTCTATGGTTGAAATATAAAAGCTTACTTTGATCCATAGAGTGTATGCCCTTGCACTAGATTGATTTATTAAGACCCCCACATTACCCTCCGATGTACTTGCATACAAATATACGGCAGTGTCAA